TAACTGGGTTAGAATAAGTGTCACATAATCGCTATCGTGCAGCCACAATAGTGCGATTGTGATAAGTAGTATCAAAGCCAAGTTGGCTCCTTGAATTGTAGGACACAAACATGTCTGCTGCAAAAGAACTGGGCAAGTCTCATACTAATCAGTTGGTAGAGATCAAAAATTAGTTACTCTACCTAAGTGAAGTTCCCGATGAATTGGGCTTTTAAAATCTCACATGAATTTTATTTTCGCTAAAGCTGACAGGATCAACGAGCTGGCAGGTCGCCTTGAGAAACTAATGTCCATGTATTAATGGTTAGGGTCAAGGCCCTAAAGACAATGCCACAACTGCTAGTGGCTCAAGCGTGGGGATAGCTCGACGGGCTCTGTTGCTTGGATGGAAGAACATATCGAGGGCTTAGAAAATACTCAAAAAGCGATCGTTCAGATTGTCTAAAAAATATCTAAAATTTTGAGAGTAGCTTTTGGAGTGGTTAGGGATGAAGTGGCGAATTTGAGCGCTAGACATGTCCTCACCATGAAAGAATTGGAGAATCAAACCCCCGTTTAAGTTGTAGTCCAATTCAACTAGATAAAGGTTCCGTAGCCCAAACCTTTTTATGTTGTTCGAGATGCCAAGGCTCTAGAGAACTTTATCTTTGACCTCGAATAGTACTTTCAAGCCAAAAATGTTGTAGCATACAAAGTGAAGGTTACATTGGCAAGAATTTATCTAGTCGATGATGCAAAGTTTTGGTGGAGATCTAAGTACATCGACATTCAAGATGGTCGATGTACTGTGGACACTTGGGAGAGCTTAATGCAAGAACTCCTCTGTTAGTTCTTCCTATAGAGTGTCGAGATAATCACAAGAAGAAAGTTTGATTTGATTACCCTGCACAGTAGATCCATCCTATAGGTGGGCATTGATATTTTCGATAGTCAGTGAAGCAAGCATGTACACCACAACCTTAGGTGACTACGTGGCCTGTGGGACGGGTTCGTCAGGTACCATACATGGATGATGAGCAGTCTAGCAATCACCATGTCTCATCATCCATGTTGTCCTCACCTATTAGAAAGAGTTCTTTGAGGTAGCCCCTAAATATCGGACACTAGTTATCGTTACGTATGCTCCCATGTCTGTGAACACCAAGAGCCTTCCGCCTTCCACCTAGAGTAAAACCCGTGGTCACGTGTGTAAGGATTGAGACTCGATGACTCTAAACAAATGAGCAAAATATTCACAAAAATAAAACAAAAAAAATTTAAAGCATACTATACGAAATATTTATATTATTTCGAAATAAAAAGTTCACACATAACTTATTAAGATACAACTTAATAGTTAAAATACAAAATAAGAAACGAACGCAAAATATTTAAAACAAAAAGGTGTGGAGGACAACAAGTGAAGCTTATCTATGGCACCTTCTCCAGAGTCCACTCCCGACCTTGACCAACTCCTTGTTTACCTGAAAAACATAGAAAACATGGAATGAGTACAAAGACTCAGTAAGTAGCCTACTTATAGGCTCTTAATCGTGTCCATAGGGTACCATACTCTTTCTTTTCTTGCTCTTGTTCTTCTTGTAAGTACTTAGGCTCTTTAGTTCTATTCTTGAATTGTTGATTCTTAGCATGATATATCTTGAGGACCTTGGTCATTAGATTCTAAAACCTTGATTCTAGTCTAAGGACCTTAGTATTAATGATCTAGGTTATTGTTCTTAGAACTCAGATCTTGATCTATGTTCTAGTCCTTGATCATTGTCTTGTTCTTGGTTACTTTCTAGGTTCTTGTTCAATTTTTTGTTCGTTCTCTAAGACACTCTCCCTAGGATTTAAGGTACTAGTCATTAAACTAATAACCTCTGTCCAAGGCTTCATATGTTCCAAGCGACGTAGGCTACTTACTGAACCTGCATCTAAAGCTTGTCTTGTGATACAATATGACAACCTATGCCCAAGGCTTCATGCATTTCAAGCCGTAAAGTCTGAATACCTATACTCGGGGCTTCTTACGTTTCAAGCATCGTAGTTTGAAGACCTACATCCAAGGCTTGTTATGTTCCAAGCGATGTAGTCTAAATCATGATCATGTTGTACCGTGGGAGATCTTAGGAGGTTCTTGAATCGTGGCTACGGTAATTTACTATATTCTTGTTCGTAACATGACTCTAGATTATTCCCCATGAAAGACCAAAAAGGTCACGTGATCGATACAAATATGAACATGATATCCTGCAAATCGTGAATAGGGTACCTCTAACATGGTGCAGGGCATCTCATCTAGGTGAGGGAAATAAGAGGCCAATCATGACATCTTGCTCAGAAAAATATGGTGTAGGGCATCCCATATAAAAGAGGAAAATTTGGGCCTCTGAAAACATACGTGGTGGGAGGTCATGGGTCACATTGGACATGATCAGGGTATTACCTAGCATTCTTTCATATCATAAAAACTTTAGGACATGGAGTGTGATACCTTATCTTGGTAGTTGTAGAGCTTGTGTGACACTTTCTTTGGGTTGACAATCATAAACATTTTTATGTATTTCTTATTATTCTTGAGGAATAATTGTATCTTGCATTCTGTAGCTCTTGCATTCTGTAGCTTATGAATCCATCATAGTAAAAGACATAGTTATTCTAGCAAGTAATAGTCTTAATAAATTCTTTAGAGGGTTCTAAAAATGTCTCAAGTCTTGAGATGTTTCCTTTAGGTGTTTGATCCTTGGTTTACTTTCCAAACTTACTCTAATCAACTTAAAATTTTGAACATACCTTCATGTTTTTAGGATAAGATCTTGTAAGAAGTAGCAAGTGATTTGGAGCATGTCTAAATTGTAAAATATAATAAGGAGTCTTAGGGACATTTTGGTCATTTTACCCCTAATTCTTAATTTAGCTACTTAATGTATTCTAATAACTTTCAAACGTCACAACATCCTCAAAAAGCATAAAATAAAAGGTTTAGTACAAAGTTTCATAGCATTTAGAGGTTATCTAGATCAATGAACTGAAGGTAGATTACCCTAGGGGTATTAGGATCATATTAGGATCATTTTACACAGTTACTTGGTTTAACTACTTATCCTTATCCAATAACCTCTAAATTTCATCTTAACACACCATCATATGCTCAGTGTTAAAAATTTGCAATGTTTAGTTATTTTAATGTTACTTACATTCCAAACAATTTGATCGATTTAAAGCCTTAACTTTCGGTTCTTGGTATTTTCTTTCATATTTAGCTTAAGTTTTATACTGAGATCCAAGCGATTCCTACAAGTATTTCCTAAGAATAGTCTAACATGACTACTTACCTTGTCATTGACGTTTGGGACCTCCGTTCTTGAGCTTCCCGTATTCGAATCACCTCAAATTTTCTTCCACAAATTCCTTATTGTGCTTGGATTTTGGAACCATAAACTATTTCATGAGAACTGGGTCTAGAAGAGAGTTAAAATTAGAAAGATCGAGGGAAGGTCATGGTTTGGTCTTTGAACCAGCCACATCATTGTCTTCTTCCTCTAGACAGGAAGAAGATGTGTGTGACCAACCTCGTCATCGCTTGTTTCATCGCTTCCCTAGCTCCATTCACAGCGCTTCTTTCCTTCATTTCTTTATGAAACTAGGGTGTTACAAGGACAACCATATTAGGAAATAGTGTGTAAGACCTAAAAATAAGATAAAAGATGGGCAAGAAATAGTAGCGGGACGAACCATAAGCATAGCCTTGAAAGTAGTATGTGTGACGGACTTCGACATCATATTAGGAATGGATTGGTAAGCCAAAAACTATACCATTGTAGATTACCACAAGAAGGAAGTAGTATTTTTGCCACCAACCAAACCCAACTTTAAGTTTAAAGAAACTTGTACTGGAGTCACCCCAAAGATAGTGTCAATGATTAAAGCTAAATGCCAAGTACAATAAGAAGGGTGAGCTCTAGC